AAAAAAAAAAAAAAAAGACAGGGAATGAGTGATGGCAGCTGTAAAATTCTTGCTGGCTGGATAAATGCTATCTATCTCATTGGTCTTCTCTTTTTGCCTCCCCAAGCTCACCTTCCTGCTCTCTCTCTCAAAGTCCCACAGCATTTATGTTTTTGTCTCTTTGGCACATAGGGTTTGACTTTGTAACTGCCTTATCCTCCCCCCCCAGGCTGGAAACTTTCCAGTGGCAGAAATTGTAGCTCATTGGGTAGAAATGGATCTCCTGCACCATATCTGTTCTTGCATGGCAGAAGCTGGTTGCTTGCCCCTTCTTCAGACTGGGAGCTGAAGGTTCTTCATGTTGTATTTCCATTGTTTGGTACACAGTAGGGGTTCAAGAAGTGCTGGTTAAATGAAGAAAAGAAGGGATGGTGGATCAGTTCTCCCAATTTCTAGAGTCTTCAGAAGCCCTGCCTCCCGAGTGCTGCAGAAAACTGTGATGGCTCCCTGAAGAAGGGGTCTACGTAGCATTCCTTCTTTCCCTACTGATCACCACACTCTTCTCAACCTATAGAGGGCAGAATAAAGAATGTGGGGTGGCAATGGGGCTGAAAATTTGAGCTTATTTCCCAGGGATTGGTTCCCCTGCTATAGGGAAATTATCTGTTTATAATTGTGGCTTGGCATTGATAGAACCTTTAAAACAAACATTGCATGCTCACTTAGTAAGTCACTTTGGAAGTACTAGACATCTTCAGAGTCCTTGCACATACATTTTAAAGAAATAAAATCTGCAACCAGTCCTGTGGAAAGAGACAAAATTGTGGGTAGGATGGAAGGCGAGGTAGAAGAAAGTGCATAGGAATTTGAGCAGTGGAGAACTCTGGTGTTAAAGTTCAGGGAGAGGGGTGCCTGGGTGGCTCAGTTGGTTAAGCGTGTGACTACAGCTTAGGTCATGGTCTCACGGCTGGTGAGTTTGAGCCCCGTATTCGGCTATTTGCTGTCAGTGCGGATCCTGTTTTGAATCTTCTGTCCCCCCCCCCCCCCCCCATCTACCCCTCCCCTGCTCATTCTCTCTCTCTCTCTCTCTCAATAATAAACATTAAAGTTCAGTGAGAGAAGAAGTTACTAAGAATAAAAGTTTCAACTTTGTAAACCTTGCAGCCTCTATGCAGCTAAGAACTAGGGACAGAGATGCAGCCTGCTTACTTTGTGTGCACCAAAGCTCTTTACAGTCGTGAAGTCTGACAGATACTGATTAGATTCTAAAAATGCAAACTCCTTTCTACATACTCACTGCTTTCCCTCAGTTTTAGACAAATTTGCTTGTTAGTGATTTTACTTTTTCTTTGCAGTGGAAAATACCATCACTGTAAGAGGTGAAGGTGTCTATTTGAAGATGTGGGAGGGGCGCCTGGGTGGCTCAGTCGGTTGGGCGTCTGAGTTCGGCTCAGGTCATGATCTCGCAGTTCGTGAGTTCGAGCCCCGCGTCGGGCTCTGTGCTGACCGCTCAGAGCCTGGAGCCTGTTTCAGATTCTGTGTCTCCCTCTCTCTGACCCTCCCCCGTTCATGCTCTGTCTCTGTCTCAAAAATAAATAAATGTTAAAAAATTTAAAAAAAAAATGAAGATGTGGGAAAGTTAATCATGAACTCTTCTGATTCCCTCTTACGTCGATCATCAAACACACTGCAATGTGGAAATCTGTGTCTGTGACATGCATTTGGCATACACTTAATCTAAGGTTAACATAACATATGTTCACATTTCAAAGTCTGGATCTGATGAACAGGAATACAATTTAAAATCATAAATTGATCAATGAGTTGTTTCTGGAAAAAAATGTTCTTTTTCCAGATCATTGATTTTTGATATTTGAAGTGCAAGGTACATACAGTACAATCTCATTTGCTTAATACCTTTTCCCACCTCTGTGAACCTGCAGACACATGTCACATATGTAAAGGTTTAGAAGGATGTATATGAGTTTTAGCAGTGATCGTCCATGGAGGGTAGGTTTGGGGGTTTTCTGTTTCCGTATTTTTGCTCTTAAGTATTTCCTGAGTTTTCTGTAATAAGAAAAAACTTAAAAAATTTTTTTTATTTATTTTTGAGAGAGAGAGAGAGAGAGAGAGAGAGAGAGTGCATGCGTGCAAGCAGGACAGAAGCAGAGAGAGAGGGAGACACAGAATCCGAAGCAGGCTCCAGGCTCTGAACTGTCAGCACAGAGACTGACACAGGGCTCAAACTCATGAACCGTGAGATCATGACCTGAGCCAAAGTCGGGCACTCAACCAACTGAGCCACTCAGGCACCCCAAGAAAAAAAATTGTTATTTTGAAACAAGAGGGGAGTTGTGGGTAGAACATACAAATCTGAGAATAGTTAGAAACATTCAGAGAAAATGATGGTCACTCCAATAACTACATCGTTCTCTTTCCCTCTGGACATGCCCCTCATCAGCCCATTTCCAGTGGTCAGGGTCATCCACCATGCAAATTTGATGGTGGCACCTCCCTGCTTTGAGTCAATTCCCTCTAAACAGATGTCAGTGTCTCTGTTCGTCCTTATCATCCTATGTAAGTCAGTCACCTTTCAATTCCAAGTGACAGAAACCTCATTCAAAGTAGCTTAAGCAAAAATGAGGAATTTCTTTGTTCATGTAACCAGAGTCTGAGGTTGGCTTCAGGCAGCACTAGACTAGGAGTTCAGAGATGGCATTCATGCTTTATCTTTCCTAGTCCTGCTTTTCTCATGTTAGTTTTGTTTCTAGACAGGTTCTGTCCATGTGGAGGCAATATGCCATCGGTAACTCCAGGCCCCCATGGTCCTTCAAACTCGGATCCTGAGGAAGGGAGAGGATTGGGGTTGGCTTGGGTTGGGTCATGTGCTCTTTCTTAGGGCAACTCCAGAAGAGAATGAGGAGTACAACAGAGGGAAATGGGTGTTTCCCAAAGGAAAGGATTCTAGGCAAACCATGACACCTTTATCTCTTCCCTCTCCAGACTCATCTGTCTCTCCCTCTCTCCTTCTCTCTCTCTCTCGGTTCTTCAAGGACCTTTACTGATGGTTCCTTCCAGAGGAAGGACATACACATACCCACGTGGCTGTGGTCAGGCATTGCTCCCAGCTCTTCTACCTCAGTGGAATGAACTCCAGGCACAACCCTGACTGCCCGTGGTCAGCAGGAGGCAGGAGGCTCTAGCACGGTTACTTCTCCAGGGACGCAGAATTGAGCAGCTTCTCCATCAGTTCAGCGTGAGACAGTAGCGTGCAGCACTCAGGCCCAGTGAGTCCAGGGCGCCCCCTCAGTCTCCAAGACCCGCAGCAACCCCAGCTAGGCCTCCTACTTGTTGCCTGCCATCTTGCCACAAGTGACGTAGCACATAGGTATAATCATGGCGGCAGCACGGCAGCAGACTGGTACCACAGACTGCCTGACCAACAGTCACCACACTACGATTCTCTAGACTCATCTCTTTTCTAGCTGCACCCGAAGTATTTTTGGTTCCAGGAATATGCCAGACATACTTCCTTGTCTTTTATTTTATGCATCTCATTGCATTGGCTGCAAATAGCCTTCCTCAATTTTTTACCTACTGCCAACTCATCCTTCAAGCTTTTCCTGATCCTCACTATCTGGGCTGGGTACTCAACTACGTGATCCCATAAGCATGTAATTGATACTCTTGACATCATACTACAGTCTGCTGCAAGTTCTTGTTTGCATAAATACTGTCCTTCCCTCACTAAACTAGCTCCTTGTGTTCAGTGATTGCTTAATGAATGGCCCACAAGTGTTTATTGAATGATTGAAAGATAACCTCAGTATGGATAAGATCATACCCTGCTTCCTCCATTTATAAAGTTCTTACAAAAAATCTTGAACTTTTGTTTAGGAGTTAAGGCATAATCTATTTTTTTTTTT